TTTTGAATATACAATTCAGTATTAACTTTAGTCATCTCTCTGTAACTATGGGTGCAGTTTATTGTTGCTGCTGCTGCTTGTTTTAAATACATATATGGTATTTTATGTGTTATTCCAATTTATTGTAATGATCACTTATTGTTTGTACAATTGTGAAAAACTGTTCTGTGGTAAAACCTCACTCCCAAATTCTGCAATGCAAAAATTCTACAAATAAGATAAGATGGCAAAAGATTGACTGTCAATGTCTTTTTACAGCATATATGGCAAGTAGGCTTATTTTCTTAATACATGAAGAGCTTTTAAATAAATCAACAAAAAAGTTGAAAACCCTAATATAATTTGGGTGAAGAACATGAATCAGCAGTTTATGGAAAAGAAATACAAATGGCATATATGTGAAAAGATGCTCATTTCTTTTAGTTAAAGAAATGAATTTAGATTCAGAGTGCTTTTTTTCACTTATCCGATTGGCAAAGAGGCATAGAAATGCTTTATGGGCATATAAATTGGTGTGAATTTTTAGCAGTCAATTTTGCAATATTTTAAAACATTTCAAGGCAAATTTTGGCCCATCATTTTCACTTCTAGGATTTCATCTTATACAAATAACTGGTGAATATAGAAAGATGGCATAAGGGTGTTCATGGTGACATTTTGCATATCGATGTGTCAGCTAAACAAATAACCAAACTGTAAAGTACCTGCATAGCCTGTATATCTCTCACTGTAGTACTGTTCAAATTATGTATATTCATAAAGTGAAATTTTATATAGAAACTAGAAAATGGACTGATCTCTATGTACTCATTTGAAAAGAAATTCCTGAAATGTTGATGACTGAGAAAAGCAAGATCAGACTTGCTTTTCATGCTTTAAAATTTTTATTTATTTATTTTTTTTATTTTTTGGGAGACTGCAGGCAGGGGAGGGGCAGAGAGAGGGGAACAGAGGATCTGAAGCAGACTCTGCACTAACAGTGGTGAGCTGGATGTGGGGCTTGAATTCATGAACCCTGAGATCATGACCTGAGCTGAAGTTTGACGCTCAACCAACTGAGCCACGCAGGCTCAGCCCCAAGATTTGTTTTTTATGCTTTTATGCACTTATGTCATATGTATGCAATCAAGTAGAAAAAAAATGTGATTGCTTATGCAGAGACAACTTCTGGAAGAATATATAAGAAATTGTTGAAGGGGTTCAACTGTATGGTGATGGACGGGAACTAGATTTGTGGCGGATCACTTTGTAGTGTGTACAGATGTTGAATTGTAAAGCTGTGTGCCTGAAAATTACAAAATTAAAAAAAATTGTTGACAGTGATTATTTTCTGGGAATTAGATTCAAGTAAGCAAAAGGAGAGGGGAGGAGTTTACTTTTCACTCACTTTCTGTACCTTTGGAATTCTTCCTCCCCAGTATTTTATTATGAAAAAATGTACATTTTCAAAGTTTGTTTATATTGAGAGAGAGAAAGAGAGAGCATGAGCAGGGGAGGGGCAGAGAGAAAGGAGAGAGAGAATCCTAAGCAGGTTCGGCACTGCCAGTGCAGAGCCTGATGTGGAGCTCGAACCCACAAACTGTGGGAACATGACCTGAGCCGAAACCAAGAATCAATCACTTAACTGACTGAGCCACTCAGGCGGCCCTGGAAAAATTTTAAAGTACAGAAAGTTTAAAGAACTATTCAGTGGACACCAATAAATTCTCCACCTAGGTGCTATAATGGTTTGTTATAATTGCTGTATCACTTAATTACAAAACAAGGATGATGAATTATTTTTACAATTTAGTAGGAAGTCAGAGTTTAAGCAAGAAGAGTACATTAGAATAACGAAATAGAAAATCAAAGAAGTACATAAATCTACTGAAAGAGAAGACTAAATAGGATGATGTGACAAATATAAGCAGCTGTTAGGAGTACAAAGTTCAATGGAACAATTCTATGCAAGAGGAAAAGACATAGAGGCTCTGAAACAGGAGGAAATGGTTTCCTGCCTGCAGTTCTTCAGGTCTGAGGTCAAGGGAGAGTGGTCCCAGAGCTGAGAAACTCCAGGGAACAGGTAGCTTTCCATCTCACATGAAAGGCCCTTTACGTGTGCCATGGTGATGGTCTTCAGACCCTGAAGCTCTTCTCACACTTCAGCGAATATTAATCACCAGGAAAACTTGCTGACACATATTTGACCCTCACAAGCTCTATCTCTGTCCTTGTGTGGAAATGAAAGGTCTCACAAAAGAGCTGTAACCAGTTAAGATCCGAGGGAGGCCTAGAGAGGAGAGTTTTGTTTTGTTCTAAATTTCCTAGTTTCAACACTGAACCACATCTCTGTGTGTAAACATTGATTCAGTAGAAAAGAGTTGGGGTTCCCAAATCTGAACTCGTAACAAGCACCCTGGGTAACATGATTGCAGGTAGGTGCTGCAGAGTATTGTCCTTCTCGAAGGATGTGGGGTTTTTTTTTAGCCCCCATGAAGATCCAGCTGCTCCAACACCCTGCAGCATCCCTTTGCCAGGAATGCCTGTTTGCTTAAACAGCTCTTATTCATTTTCTAAATGATCTTAATTACTGAGTTCCTAAGGGAGTGAATCATAAAGAGCTTTATCTCTTGGTGCAGGTGAATGATCTCACCCACAGTGTTGTAAACCAGCTTGGACGGGGGTGGGGTCTAGAGAGAGGAGGTTATTATGATTTTTTAACTTTTAGTTCTTTGATTTAGCCCTGGTGCTGTGCCCCTCGGTGTAAACCTTCACTGGGGCATTTGATGCCATCTTCTCTAACCTCTGATTTATGGGGGGGCAGGGGAGGAGGTGGGTCTAACAGATTCATGTGTTTTAAATATTCACTTTTCCAAGGGCTAAAGTCACCAAGTCCCTTTCCTGGTGTTTTTCCTTGGAAGCTTTTCCTTACTGCTATCACAGAGTATTCGAATTCTCATCAGTTTTCTTGTGACTTTTGTGGAATGTGCTGGTAGAATTGCAGCTGTCACATTGCCTACTTAGAACAGGTTTCCCTCCCCTGAAGGATTAGTAGGGAGGCAAACTATTTGCAGTTGCCTCGACCCCACCTCTGACAGTTCTGTAACCCCATGAGAAAGAACAACCTCAGAGCTTCTCAGTCTTTCTGAGTGACATGTTTCTCTTCCTTGTCTATTCTTGCCGTCTCTTTTTCCATTTTGGTTGGTCAATGTAAGTTAAAAAATTTGTTTCTATGGTGGCCCATCAGCTAAAAGAAAACATGCTGTCTCAAGTGATGAGTAACTTAATATTTATTTGTTTTTTTTAAATACAATGACCATTTCTTGAGCTCATCCTGTGTACCAGGCATTGTGCTAAATGCTGGAGACATGGGCGAAAAAGCAGACAGTGGCAGACAAGTCTCCCAAGAACCTTGACAAATCCAGGTTGAAAACATCCATATAATGGGGAACAGCCTGAGTAAAAGCCTGGGAGTAAGTCTGTAGCATGGAGGCTATTCAAATGTGGTTGGGATACAAAGTGCTTGATGGGAAAGAAAAGATTTTTTGAAGACCTGGTATTACTGTCAAAAATCTGAACATTAATCAATAGGAAATTATTTCTTAATCAGTTTTTTTTTTAAATAAAGCTACAGAGGACATATCATTCTAACATAAAAATGCAGTAAGTAAAATAATGCTTCTATTTTCCTTTGTAATCAGTGAGGTGAGGGAAGTATGGCAAGAGCTGAGGAGGGTAGGGATGATGAAAGGAAAACGGGAAGAAATTCATATTGACAGATGGTCCAACAGCAAGGATCAGCAAAGACAAAGCTACATAGAGAAGAAGGTAGATGGATGCATATCCTGAGGGCCTGGAATAGTACCTGGTACATAGTAGGTGCTTATGAAATAGCTACTAAGTGAAAAACAGAATGAATGGCATGGGGAGAAAAAAATAAAAGGAAATAGACAGATAGTGCAAGGAAAATTTGACAGTACAGACAGAAACATCTATATTCCAAGGAAGCAGATTAGAAAGGAAGCTTGGGAGAAAGGACAGGGGGGACCCAAGGAGGCTCATAGATTAGGTGAGAGCTATTGAGCAAATGAGCCTTCACATACTCTGTGTCTTAGACATTGTGCTGGGTGAGGGCTGTAGGTCTGGGGAAAGTCACTCAATGCTTTTGAGTCTCATCTGTTAGAAAAAAAAGCATTGAAAGGAAATGGAATAGAATATAGTGTTGTAAAATGTTACAATCTGAGGCAGTTAGGTGGTGGGGATATGGGATTTTTGCTGTACTATTCTCTGTATTTAAGTGTACTTTTAAACTTTTTCATAAAAAGATCTTAATAAATAATAGGAGGGCTAATGAACCGAGCATGGGCCCATCTCATTCCCTCCTCCCTGTAAAGTCACTGGAGTCACAGTAGTCAAGACATGGCCACAGACTGGATATGGGAGGGCAAATGGCAGAAGGTCACGTTTATTCTAACAGTTGGTGTCCTCATGACTAAGTGGGTGATTGTGTCTAATGGAATGACAGGTTTGGGAGGGAATCCAATAAATCCACTTGTCAGTAATGTTGGGGGAATGCTCAAGGAAATATTTGTAGACCAAAGGAAGTTCGTTCCTTCTAGAGTTGGGGTTTCTACAAGGCACTGTGGGGAGGCTCACAGGCAGGGAGGCATGGAGGTGGGAAGCAGGGGTGGGGGGACTGGTTGGGAGGGGTGAGAAGAGAGACTGGGGGCCTTGACTTACAATTTTTAATAGTGAAGAAGGAGGAACCTTGAGTGGAAGCCTAGATGGAGGGTGTGGCGAGGAGAACAGCTGAATTTGTTGAATTATCCAGCCACAGCGTCCCCGGTGGAATGTTGACTTGTTGGCCTCTGCAGAATTGTTGGCCTCCCAGGTGCTGGGCACAGTTGCTCGGAGCAGCTCCTGAGGGGAAGGTCAAAGGGTCAGGAAGGAAGGAGGTCAGAGGGGAGAGCTAGAGATACCAGGCTCTACAAAATGCACTTATTTTTCTTGGCATCTGACAGGTGGATTAGATGAAATCTAGCTGCGGGCCTAGCCCAGTCAGGCCACAGATTCCCTGAACTGTTCTCACCACCCAGTAAGTTCCTACCTTTGTAAGGTATCTCTTCCTCACATTTTTTTCTCTTTTGGTGGACATTCTATGTCAGTGTTTATTTGCTAAATGACAGTTTAAGGGAATAAGTGTAATAACCTATTTGACTAAAGTGGTTTTTGAAAGTGACAAATCAGTTTACTTAATAAAAGAAAATTTGATGTTATTATGATTTCCAGATATTTAACACTCTTTTTTTGGGGGCGGGGGAAGCCTAACTCATTAACTGAATTAGAGAAAGATTTTTTTGATGTCTGAGATTGAGGCAGATTTTTAATTTTGTCTGCATGAAGGAAGATTCCTAATGCAATGATTGGTTTAGAAAATCATAAAACCACTTTGTAACATGTTCATGACAGAAAACAAAGACTATGTCACCATGGATTCCAAACAAAATTAATATCATGTCCCAAATAAGTACTGCTGTTTAGAACATCATAGAGGGGGATGGGAGAACACAAGCTTAATTAATTATTTCCTTGGTTGGAAAACAAAATCTTTGAACAAAGAGAACATTATCTCTATAAGACACTAACATTTCTAAGATTCCACCCCCAGTAAGGCCAGCAAACAATAAAGGCAAGCCTCTAACTGGGTTTCGAATCACTCACATCTCACATAAACTTGGAAAATTACAACAGAGAGTAATTGAGAGATTGTGTCTAGATAGTTGGAGTCAAAAGACTGGTCTGCTCCCTTTTCTGTATTTTCCCCTTCAGAGCATACGAACCAGGGTTCCTGTCCTTTATTTCTCTGCATCCACCCAGTCATCAAATCCTACTTATTATGATACTTCCAATATCAGCTGTACTCAAACTTAAAATGTAATGGAGTGAGGGCTTTCACCAGAAGGGCTAAAATTATTGACTTCCAGGCACTGTCATGCACACTATTTTGGTCCTTCTGGCAGCGCTCTGGTAAGGCCCTGTTAACTGTTGTCCTCATCACGGTTTCACGGATGGGGAAACTGGTTCTCAGATGTGGCTGCCCATTCGCATGGCTGGGGTAGGGGTGGGGCTTTTAAAACTGTCAGTGCTCAGGCTACCATCCACTTGGACCAATTAAATCAGACCCTCTGAAGGCAAGACCTAGGCTTCTATGATTTTTTAGACCTCCTCAGGTGATTACCGAATGCACCAAAGGTTAGACCTACCGACTGTTAGAGGAATTGATTAAGCAGCACAAGGTCACAGGGATGACTGAGTGAAGGAATAGGGGTTGGAATCCAGGTCTGTTAGATTTTAGAGCCTCATCTTAACCTCTCCACTATATTGCCTCTCAAAGTATTTAGCACTTCTGGGCAGGCACCGAATATTCTTGCGTCAGGGACATGTATAAGAATATTCATGGCAGCCCTTTTGGTAACGGGTGGAATCTAGGAACAAACAGAAGTGTTCAACAACAGTAGAATGGGTAAACTGTGGTGTGTACTAAGACTGAATGTTTGTGTTCTCCCCCATCCCAAACTCATAAGTTGAAGTGTTAACTCCCAGTGTGATGGTGTCAAGAGGTGGGGTCCTCTGAGAAGTGATTAGGTCATGAGGGTGGAGCTCCCGTGAATATAATTAGTGTGTTTGTAATTACAGAGACCCAAGAGAGCTTCATCATCCCTTCTGCCATGTGAGGACATCTTTATCAGACACCAGATCTTCTGGCACCTTGATCTTGGACTTACTTCCCAAACTCCACAACTGTGAGAACTTAAACTTCTGTTGTTCACAAGCCACCCAGTGTGTGGTATTCTGTTATAGCAAGCTGAATGGGCTAGCACAGTGTGTTAAGGGAATGGAATACGATACAGCAATAAAATAGAATTCCATCTTTTCACAAACATGAAACCATACAATTGTGTGTTTGGGTACATAATCATATTTGGAGAAATTTTCATAGAGAAGCAAAGCAAAGTTCATGAAGCAGAAATTGAGGGAAGGTGTTGGGTTATGGAAGGAGCACATAGAAAGCTTTGAATATAATGTTCTATTTCTTAAACTGGGTGGTGGGTAGGTATAAAGGTATTTTTGAAGTTTTTTTATATTCTCTATATGTTTTATAAACATTCCTTTTAGATCTGTTAATGTTTTAAATGATAAGAAAAGAATAATTATTGTTTTTATGAAATACATTTTATTAATGCAATTCCAGAAATATAAAGTACTAAGCAAAAAACTAAAGACAAAAAAGAAAAAGCCCCACCAAAGATGTCATCACCCAGAAACACATATTAAGTGATAATCATTTCACAGTATTTTTTATGCAAACATACAGAAAGGACAGATATGTAGACAAATGAATTAGGATTGCTTCAGTTATCTAGTGTGTGTAACAAACCACCTCTAGAGTTAGTGGCTGTGACAACAAAACCCAGTTATTTACTCATGATTCTGCAACAGAGCAGAGCTTGCTGGGATGCCAGTCTTCACTCCACGTGTTGGCTGGAGTTACTTGTGCAGTTGTATTCAGCTGGGAACGTGGGTGGGGTTGGAACATCTAAGATCACTTCCATGTTCAGAATCTCTGCCGGGATGGCTCAGGGCCTCCTGGCTAGGTTTCTCTTTTTCCATGGGTTCTCATTACCCCATGGACCCTGAGACAGAGAAAGCAGAGGCTACAGGTATTTTAAGATCTAGGTGTGTAAATCCCAGAACATCCCCCTCCCATGCATTCTGTTGCTCAAAGTAAGTCACAAGGCCAGCTCAAGCTCAAGGGAAAAGGGAACAGACTCTCCCTCTCAATGTGCAGAGAGACATGGGCCTATAGGGATGGAGGGAAAGTTGGAGGCTCTTAGGAAATGATCTACCACTGTGTCTGTAATAAGTAGGCTGCTTTTCATAGTCTGTTGGCAGAAAGCTGGGTTTTCATGATGTTTTGAACAACTTCATTCAGTAATTATTACTGAATATCTACTATGTGTCAGGGACTGTTTTAATCATCATAAGAGCAAAGAACCAAGAGACAAAAACTACTGTCTTCATGGAGCCTACATTTGAATGATTTAGGCAATCATTCAGACTATATGCTGTTTTATACTAGAAATCAATAAAATTTGGCTAAAGGAAGTTTGGTTAATTTAAATAAAAGAATAAGAACAAGTGATAGCTGCTGACCTTAGTGGTCTACCTGAGCTCCGATAGAACTAATAGAAAAAGTTTCCAGAAATAGAAATCTTCGTGGGATTCCATTCAAATGAATTCAGCAAATATCTATTGTATACAGAAATCTTTCCTGGCTTCCCAGCATGGGAGACAATTTTGGAAGCATTTGATTTGATTCAGTTAAGGGTTTGATGGATATATATGTGAGGTGCCAAAGGACATACACAGGATTAAAACACAGGATACCTTCCCTCATGGTGGCAGCTATGTTGAATATTTGGTTTTTTGTTTATTTATTTTTTAATTTTAGAGAGAGAGCATGCGTGAGCAGAGGAGGGGGTGAGAAACAGAGAGAGAGAGAGAATGCTACCGTAGGGCTGATCCCATGACCCTGGGATCATGACCTGAGCTGAAATCAAGAGTCAGATGCTTTCTTGGCTGAGCCACCCAGGTGCCCCCATGTTGAATACTTACGACTATATATCTACGGTATAAGTACCACAAGTTGCTATCAATGTGGTGCTGAGATCTGATAGAAGCCAGTATGTCATTCATTTCTGGGAATCACTGAGTCTTCATGAAGGAGAGAGAATTTAAGCTGGTTCTTGAAGATTTTTGTAAAAATATTTTTAATGTTTATTTTGGAGAGAGGCAGAGTGTGAGCAGGGATGGGGCAGAGAGAGAGGGAGATACAGAATCCGAAGCAGACTCCAGGTTTGGAGCTGTCAGCACAGAGCTCGATGTGGGGCTTGAACTCACAAACCACGAGATCATGACTTGAGCTGAAGTTGGACGCTTAACTGACTGAGCCACCCAGGCGCCCCTGGTTCTTGAAGACTGACAACATTTTCATGTGGGTGGATGCTAGCAGGCCTGTAGAAGGCCAGAATTATCTGATGTACCCTATTACCATCCGTTCACATGGTGAGTGCATCTTTCCCCTTTGTTTCTAGCTGAAGCAGGCTGGTGTGGGCATTAATGGTTCTTCAACGATTTCCATTTTCTACCTGAATTCATTGTTTAAATGACCTGTTTACATTACTACTCTGGGTGACATCTATGCCTAGAGATGTCTGCTAGTTGAAAATGAACAAACAGTAGCTTGGTGTTTCTTATCTCTAATGGACGTTCTGCAAATCCCTTAGCTTTAGCATTTAATGTGCAATGGATTTTTTTAAAAAAAAATGAATAAAAGGAATAGAGAATGAAGGGCACACACATCCAGGTGCTGTGTGTAAACATCATGTTATTCTTATGTCAGGTGACTCTAAGCAGAGGATATGCAGTTCGAATGCAGTTGACATCACAGAACTGTGTGTGCCTCTCACTGACTTGGTATCCTCTTTGGGAAAAATGGACTTGTGTTTGAGGTTGAACTTATTAATCTCTGCTGTATTGAAATTCGTAAAACCATTTTCATTTGGATACTTCTTTATACAAAAGGCTAAAATGAGTCTAATTGCCCATGTAAGTCATGTCTTCTCTTTTGGTGCACTGTGTTCTCAGAGTAATATTTGTATTATTATCATTAACATATTTCCCTTTTTCCCTTCTCCAACAGATATTCATTTATTCATTCATTAAACAAATAAAGATATATTAAGCAACTACTATATCCCAGCCACTGTTATATGGCCTTGGAATACATTTATCAAGAAAACAGACAATACTCGATTGGGACTTACATTCTAGCAGGTGGGGACATAAAACGAATAATAAGCTCAATAAACAAGGAAATTATATAGTGTGTTAAAAGGGGGTAAGTGCTATGAAAAAAATAAGGTAGGGCACAGGGCTAGGGATGCATGTGTGGGTTACAACTGGAAGTAGATTTGTCTAGGTGGTCCTCATTTAGAAGTGTGTTAGCCTCTGGTCATGTTAGCGTGAGAGTCTTTGGGGAAGAGGCAGCCACCAGGCCCAAAGGGACTTTGTCCAGAATGTTCTCGCAATAGGCGGATAGGTTAGTGTGAATGGAGCCCAGTGAGCAAAGTAGGGAGAATAGAAGGAGAGGAAGTGAGAGAATTAATAGGGACAGATGGCATGGGGATTTATAGGACTTTGTTAGGATTCCAGCTTTAACTCTTAGTGACATGTGGAGTTAAATGTGAAGTTCTTCAGGAGATGTGGCTCTCACTTTCTTTGTGATATCATTGCCATATATTTCACTTCTATTGTTGTTATTCTTTGTGCTTTAACCA